TCAGGTCTTTGTCTGAATTTCTACCAACATTACTTGTCAGGTTCTCATGTTATTGCTAAGGATTGTCTATTGCATTGGAGTCACACTGGGTTAAATATGTACACTTGGGTTTTAAGGGGTATTTATTATTTTCTTCTTTTTTGGGTTGTATGGAAGCCCCAAACGCAATTTCATTGTTCTTGACAATGACAATAAATAAATAAATACCAAATAAATACCAAAATACCCTTTAAAAACATCCCAAAAAGTCAATTCTGAACCTCTTTCACTCAAAACGCAGAAGAACAGAATCAGCTTGTTGGGAACTGATCAGCAATTTTTTTTTTTTAGCAGTAAGCTAATTTTCTAAGGAGCTTGGAAGGAAAAGTGTCTGGACATCAGTTCATCTTCTTGAGTTCTAGGGTCAAATGGTGGAGAGGTCTGGGCATTCCTCAGACAAACTTAACAATGTAGTGTATGCTGTACAGTGTACGTGGGTCATTTCAGCTCAGGAAATCGCATGATAGGTGAGGCTAGGTTTTACAATGAGCTCACCCGAAACCTTGCCTGATTGTGACCTACATCCGTTTTCTGAAGAAACTTCTCGGATGAGATGTGAAACATCTTCAAGCAACTTAAGGAAGTCCAGATGCTTTTCTTTCCGAGCTCCTTATACTATGATGACCTGGATGACTAAGAACCTTCACAGACAGTAAGTTAATTATTACTAATGGTTACTAATGTGACCTTATTTTAAAGTGCTACTTTAATATGTAATCAAACAGGATGGGCAGTATTTTCATTAGTTTTCCTGCTTTACTACAACTAACACAAACATCAGTGGAAATTCATGCAAGTAGACGCGCTGCATTTTGTTCTAACAAAATAACACATATATTAAGATTGTGTCTATTTAAAGAATAAAGAATAAAAAGTACTATCAAAAACTAGCGTTTTGTACCTTTGGCCTGTTGTGATCTGTTTGATGAAAATAAAGCAGTTGACCTTGCTATTTTCATTCACACTTAACTGGCTATTATTCTCTTACCTCTTGTCTCGGTGCAGGACAGCAGTGCAAGTATCACAAAGAAAATCATTGCAGACTCCTGAGCATGCAACACCAGGGAAGTGGTTTATACCTATGACAGACCTACACGGGCAGCCCCTTTTCACAGCTGTTTATCCTTGACACAGACTAGCAGTGTAAAAGTAAACACATAAACTTTTCAAGCCCAATTTTCTTTCAAAGCAACGTTTCACGACTTAAAATCTGTCATGTTAAAAATGTTAATATATTTTATTAAATTTGGTTACTTTTGGATTTAAGCAGTTGAACTTAAATATTTAGCTCGTTAAATTTCCAGTGTTAGCCACAATGATTCTCATATGTCTATGTCAAACCAAATGTCACATTTTCTGGTGGTTTTGTTAAATAAATGCTACATAAAGTTGGAAAATGAAGGTGTTATAGCTCTGAGCTGACCACAGTTTCACAGCTGCACAGTCTACAGAAACATTTGCTGAAAATATTTGTCGGCAGTTGTCAAAACAGATGTGGTTACACGTTCAAACTGCTTTCAGGTTACAGAAAGCAAATGTGCTGCAAGTGGTCAAAACAAATCAACACACAAGAAAAAAAAACACAGCCCATTTTAACTTGATCTTTTTCTACATAAATTGTGAGTTACTTGAAAAATTGTTTGACAACAAACTGTTTTTCTTTGCTTGGTATGAGGTCGACCTCACTATGAGGTCGACACTGATAACAGGAAATACCATGAAGATCAACTTTGACATGTTTCCTTGTTTGATGGAGTAACCTTCTAAATATCTTAATGACTGTTCAATATGCAGATAACATAAATATATCTTTAAAAAGACTCTACAATATGATAACAGGTTTACTTCAACGTACTGTTGCTGTATATGAGGAGGCTCGGTCACCTGCCTTTCTATGTTCATTGATGGTCGCATTTCCTGACATCTTTTGCTGCTCGCCGCCTGTTAGGCTGGACATGTACAGGCCCCCTAATGTGGTATATATGTTCTGCCCATTGCATAGGAGCTGTGGATGTCTGTCTGCCTAATCCAACTTGTTTGTGTAGAAGCCTCTTTCTTGTGGCGTCTCCTGTTTGTGTTGCGTTGTGAAATTAGTACTACTTAACAATGCAATCTACTACTAGTTTTTATACTGCTTCTATAGGTTTTGTAATCCCAGTTTCCAGAGGTTTGAAAACATGTTTTCTACAGGCCATGAGTAAATTTTTTCTGGAGCTTTATTTACAGTTTTGTGTGCATCTCCATTTATCATGTACGGCTGAGACAATCAAATGAAGTTACTGGAAAATGATCATGAACAGCATGGCACCTTCTTAAATGAGACTAGGTAGTAAAAACTATGTGTGAAGGAATGCAGAGTGATCAGCAGGCATTTCCAAGATGGTGCGGACTCTTGAGCTAAAACAAAAGTGAGCAGCTGCAGGCTGGGGCAGAAATGCTGGGTTTCAGTGTCTTTATTATTTTAACAAAATTTAACAAATGACAGGTTTAAGCTGTTTACAAACAAATAAATTGATTCATTGAAATGAATAAACCAGTGAAAGAAAAACAGGAAAATGTAAAATTAGAAAAAAAAAATACTGAGAATCATTTTGAGAATAATAACTCAACAGGCTATCTGTATTCATATGTATTATGCTGATAACAACATTGATATTCATAAACAATGTTGGTATTTGTAAAAAAAATATTATACTTGCTAATCATGTAAATTTCCTGCAGCTGTCATAGACGCCCACATGACGTCCATAAAAAATTACCCAGTCCAAATGTTGTCATGGCTGGATATTCAAATTGTGGACCTAGTTTGGACGTCATATAGATGTCCAGAAATGGTCATGGACCGATGGACCCAGTATAGAGTTGATCTGCACCTGTATCCAACCCTCAATTTTTAGTGGGGTTTTTTGTGTTGCTTTACTTTGTGTGTTTGGTTCAGTGATATTATTTGGTTTGGTAATTTTATTAACATGAGCAACAAGCATTTTATTTACAAAGTGATACAGATTCCTTGTGTGATATTTGAGAACTTTTAATGTTTGCAAACACCCAAAATGTGTTAACCTGTGTAGTTTTCTACCACTGGTATCTATAACCTCAACATTTTCTAAAACCATATAAGTTATATGTGTACGTGGAAAGCCTCTTCTTTATTTTTGCTTCTTAATCTTCTGCATAATGTGGACACTGATCACAGCAATCACCATGATGATCAGACCAACAGAGAACACGACTGTCTTCACCACACAGATGGAGATACCTGCAGACATGAGCAGAAATAATGAAACACTAAATAAATTGGAAGTACAGTTTCTTTTATCTGACTCAAGAAATCTTTTACATTTCAGAAATACAGTTAATTTATTTCTTAATGTATCCCAACTGTATTCAGCATTCCAGAGGAAAAAGCGAGTGACTATTGTGATTATTTGACTAAATTAGATTTAGGGATTGAGGGAGGACTGAGGTTTATATACAGTTAGGTCCATATATATTTGGACACTGACACAATTGTTTTTTAACATGTTTATTGAAACATATTCTAATTACAGTTATATAATGGACATGGAACTTAATGTGTCCCACAGTCTTTTTAAAGGGGCCAAACGTAATTGGACAATTGACTCGAAGGTCATTTCATGGGCAGGTGTGAGCAATTCCTTCGTATGTTATTATCAATTAAGCAGATAAAAGGCCTGGAGTTGATCTAAGGTGTGGTGCTTGTGTTTGGAACATTTTGCTGTCAACAGACAACATGCAGTCAAAGGAGCTCTCCATGCAGGTGAAACAACATCCTTAAGCTGCGAAAACAGAAAAATCCCACTTGAGAAACGGCTTTAAGATTAGGAGTGGCAAAATCTACAATTTCGTACATCCTGAGAAAGAAAGAAAGCACTGATGAACTCAGCAATAAAGAGAAGACTGGCTCACAAACAAACAGCAACTGAAAGCCTCTGTAGTAAAGACCTGGCAGAGCATAAAAAAGGAGAAAACCCAAAATCTGATGATGTCCATGAGTTCAAGACTTCAGGGTGTCATTTCCAGCAAAGTATTAGAAATTAACATTTTATTTTCAGTTATTCAACTTTTCCAATTAATCTTGAGCTCCTGAAATGAATTCATTGTAAGGAGCTAAAGAATTTTAGTTCCTCACATTTTATACAGTCTTTTTGTTCAACCGGCTGAATTAAAGCTTAAAGTCTGCACTTCAACTACATCTGAGTTGTTTCATTTAAATTCATTGTGGTAATGTACAGAACCAATTTAGATTGATCTAATTTAATTGTGACCTGGTTGCTATAGTTACAAATGACTTATTTATTTAATAAATAGGCACAAATAAAAGCATTAGAGATTGTGATGGGCAGCTTTTGTTGTCATCCTTAAAAATCTAATGCTGTGGAGTGAAGGGTCAGACAACACAGGAGGTTTAGCCTTTTTCTCCAACTTTATTGACCACCAAACATGAACTGAACACATTGCGTGCAAAACCCAGCAAAACCCCTCACCTGGGTGTGACCCCTCTGGTGGGCCACCATAATGCAAGTTTTTGCCATCGACCTTACACTCTAGTATTCAGAATATTTTAGATTTTCTCATCAAAAGAAAGATAATAACTGTCAAATTTGGTGATATACATATGGAATATTTCTCATGCCAACTATTGTTAACCAGAATTATTCTTCCAGCAGTCAACTACTACTAAAGGTATTTAACACAGGTTTTGAGATTTTAACTGAAATTGTGTTCCAGATCAATAGAAGCAGACACAAGCTTGAAAATTTCTGGTAACTTCTGAGTGGATGTGCTCATTATAGGACAGCTGATTGGTTACAACTGCCCCAACAAAGGGTCAAGACATGATTTTGCAGAATGTACAAATGAATGTGATGTCTTTGAATTCTTACCTGTTTTTTCCTTGCAATAACGTTTAATGTCCTTCTTAGTCTGTTCCCAGCTCACTTGGTTGCTGTGATTACAGATGATTAAGTCTTGCTGCAAATTGACAGTGAGATTGGAAGAATAGGTTTGGGCTTTAAAGCTTCCTTTTTCTACCAGAGAGCAGTTTTGGGCATCACATGTGAAAATGCTGCTGATTTGAGAATCCACTGTGCTGCAGGTCACAATGAGGTTACAGGAGTCTGAACTGCCAGACACAGAGTCCACTATCAGGTTAACTGGAGAAACTGGATCTGAAGAGTAACAGGCATAAAGAGATTTAAAACAGGTCTATGTTGTATCACCATTTCAAAAAGATAATGAAAGCAGAAACCTACCTTGGACTATGACCTTGTATTCAGCTACCTTTTGGTCTTTATAGCTAACCATGAATGCAGTATAATCTCCACTGTCACTGTGTTGCATATTCTTTAATAACAACGCGTAATTTTGCCTGAAGAGCTCAGCCCTTCCTTCATATTTGTCAAACACGACTGGATCATTATTAAAACCACATTTAGCTATATTGTTCGTTTCATGAACTTTCCATATCAAATCCGTTTTTTTGTCTAGTACAACAGATTTCTTTATATCCAGGTGTAAGTCCTTTCCACGGAGGAGAAACACATGTTGGAGCCCTAAAAGAAAAACAACAAACCTGATGTCAGAATCATCTTATTAACATGCTACTGGAAGTCTCTCAAATTAAATACAGTATTTTTTTTTTTAGTATTTTTATTATTGTTTTGTCAACATTTTTATATAATCTGTTTATATGTTGATAATTAAACACATTTATTAGTGCAAATATGTTTAATTGTTATTCAGCTGTAATAAAAACCCTTACACCAATCAGACATCTCTAAAATGAATATAGATTTGTGTGTAACTTGCCCCACATCGTCCTTCAGTTACTGTTTGTTGAGATAATTTCCAACAATAAAATGTGGACTTCACAGATAAACCTTCTTGTGAAAATCCGTTCCTATTGGAAGTTATGACTTCCACACAACTTTGGATGGTGCACCTCTAATATCTAGAGTTGCCCAAATTCATTAAACTATCTCTGCTTCCCTCCATGACAGAAATAGGGAAGCTACAACCCCAAACCTTACAGAATGTGTCTGCTCCCAGACCACGTCAAAGAACCAAACCACAAATCGGCCATGAAGGAGTCAACAATGAAAAATGAAATGAAGACTGAGATAAAGTTATAAAACATTCGAAATCCTTACTCTTAGTATTTCAGACCCTAACTGTCTGCTTGAACATTACACAGTATTTCCTGTTTATCTTTTTTTTAAGTTTAAAAGCAAAGACTAATTTTGTCTAAATAACTCAGACCGTCCTTCACATGTGTCAAACATGATTGCATCTTTATAATAATAGTTACCAACATTGTTAGTGGTAGTAAATTACGTTTATTTTTGTCTACTACAACAGGTTTCTTTATGTCCACATGTAAGTTCTATTAAGTACAAACATGTTCTCAGACCCTATAAAGACATAAAAATCATGTATTCATACGTTGTTTGATTTATTATATTTATATTGTTTTTTTATTATCATTGGAAATTATTGGACAATTAGTTGTTTTACAATAAATTATTAGGCAGCTCTAATAGCTTTCATAGCAGGGTAAGATTTTACAGTTTTTCTCATGTGGTGTTGAATGGTCAAAGTATGAAAAGATGGCAGCAGTTACTCCTCATCTGTGTCTGAAATCATCCTGGAACTGCAGTGTTCAATGCTTCTAAAGTTCTGTATTGAAAGCTTTGGTTGTGCTGGTTTTATTTTCTCTCAGAACCAGGAAACCTTCTAGCACACAAACCGAGTCACTGCGAGAAAGAGGAAGTGACTATTTTAGATGGACTAACTTGTCAAACCTTATTCCGCCTGTCAAAGACACAGCTCCGATTAAACTGTGATGTACTTTGAGACATTAATCTAGTCTTTCATCCGCTGCAATAAAATAACAGATATCTTTTGTAGTGAACACTATTATAAAAGAAAACATTTGCACTTTCCATCTTTGTTAGTTCTGTCCCTGTTGAATTAAAGAAGCAGTTGTTATATACTGCTACTATATGTGTGCTAATATCTAGACATTTTTTTCCTACCTTCAGCCTCAGTGCAGGACAGAAACACAAGAATCACAAAGAAAAACATTCTAGAGTCTCGAGGTTTCTCTGAAATGTAACAACATGGAAGTGTTTTATACCACTGACAGCAGAACAGGGTCAGCCCCTTCTAACAATTGCGTTCTTCCTCTAGACTTGACACAGACCAACAGTGCACAAGTGAACTATCTTTGAGCTGTGCCAGTTGTCGATCTGACATAGCCATGGTTTCACAGCACACTGCCTTTGACTCCATGGCTACTAATGCTCAATTTTTACCAGAGTCAGTGGAGTAGTCAGCTGGGAGAGAGTGGTGGTTAGAACACCCATCAGGCTCTATCTAAGCTTTGCATTGTCTACTGGGTAAGACCCATCAGGGATAAGTGACTTTTAAAGCAGAGGGCCCATCCAGACTACCAGTATTGGGGTACTGGTCCCACAAAACCGACAAACATTAAAATAGCACAAAAACACTATTAATCTGTATATTTTCTGCTCGACAATGTAGCCTGCCTCCAAAGTCATCCACTACCCTATGTGGGTGATATCAAAGAAGTCCATATTCCAAAGTCAAAAACCTGCTTAGCCTCCCAAATACTTTTTCCCCGACATAAAAGCCTCAACAACATTTTTAACACCAGCAAAAAGCATTTTTATTCACAAATTAGGCATTTGGTGGAATTTGTTAATGGGTAATAAAAATGAAAATGTATTATTGTTTTTGTTCAGTGTCTTAACTTTCCCCATGAACTACAGAAAGGACAACAATATAAACATGATGATTGAAATTGTTTCAGGGTATCTGATTTTTTACGTTTAATATTGAAGTTTAATCTACTTTAATCAGCTGGAAAACTGCATTCGAGTGTGAGTTAATAAAGATGCTAAAAAGCATCGAAGTGTGGTCAGGTCCGCAATTTGTGCTACAAGCTGCATTTGCAGTGATACCAAATTCCTCTTTAGGCTGTAACATCCTTTAGGTTTTGCATGTTAAGCAAAAATGCTTGCACAAAAAAACAAAACAAAAAAAACCAGACGTCTAATACAAGAAAAAGGAAGTTGCATCTTTTCACAGATTGAGAACAAGAAAGAGAAATAAAAGTAGCAGAACAAGAGAGAAGTTTGCTTTTGCCATACTTCAGTTTGCACCCCAGTCTCGTAACATATTCCAGTAGATCTGAATTTCAGCTGAATTCAGCTGTTAAAACAAAATTTACATGGTTTTGTGTTTTTTTTTCCCATATTTTTATTACAAAATAATGTTAAAAATATGACTGTCTTTCAACAAAAGCACTTGCAAAATTATTCTCTTAAAAGAATCTTTATGATATAATGACTGTAGTTCAATATACAGACAGTATATAATAAAAATATAGTTTTAGTTCGTACGTGTTTTCAGTCATAGAATAGGATACAATTAAAGGTTTGCTCTTTGCATGTTTGCGATTTTAGTCGTAGTGTTCAGTTTGAGATAAACTGAACTGACAAAAAGAAGCATCAATAATTTCTATAGGTTTTAACAGTTAATCATTCATCATTTCATCTAAAAGAAAAATGTTGAAGCCATGAAGTGTTTTTCACAGAGCTATAGGGCCACGCTCCGTCTCAAAGCTGTGTTATTTAAGAACTTTGAAACTTGACAACAATTTTGTATGTGAATTTAAACATGAGACATGATTTTTTGGGACACTTGAAAAATTGTCAGCATATTGAATATGCAACTTGCTGCATTTGGAAAGATACCCAATTTTCATCTCAGATATATTTTTGAACCCTTTTTTCATTCTTAGGTTACTTTGAATGTTAAATGATGGTGTCAGTGTCTCATTAACATTTAGAATAATACAAAGAAGACACCAATCAAAGCAGAATCGGTAACTTCTAAAATATCAGAGATTGATAGGTTGGTCTTTGGTGATTTTAAATGAGCTTTGAAGCTGAAAAAATTCTTTTTTTATTCTTGGGTTTACAACTTAGTAGTAGTTATCAGTTGATTCCCTCACACTGAAGAAACATCTTAATGCTGCTTTCTGGAATAGGAATCAGAAATGCTTCTTTTGTGTTTGCTATCATTATAAAATCTCAGAAAACAGCTTTATAAGGATCAACACGTATTTTATTCACAAAATGATGTAGAGTCTTGACTTTTGACTATTTCATCAAAAATAATTGGTAACGCTATCATAGATGGTTTGAGGAGTTCTTTTCAAGCAAGTTTGCATTGACATCTATGTGCAGTGGGTAAGCACTGCAAAATGTATTTTTCTTTCTTAAATTTCTCTGCAGTGATGACAGTGATTTAACATGTTTGCCATGCATGTCTTGTGGAGCGTTTGTTATGTTTACATTCAACATTCAGAAAATTAACGGAATTAAATGTACAAATGTCTATACTTACAAAACATTTGCAATGCCTAATTTTGTGCTATATAACAAAAAACGGTATCTGCATAAAAATTAGCAAACCCCCAAAATGTGTTAACCTGTGTAGTTATCTACCACTGGAATCTATAACTTCAACATTTTCTAAAAGTGTATTAGCTATGTGTGTACGTGGAAAGCCTCTTCTTTATTTTCACTTCTTAATCTTCTCCATAATGTGGACACTGATCACAGCAATCACCATGATGATCAGACCAACAGAGAACACGACTGTCTTCACCACACAGATGGAGATACCTGCAGACATGAGCAGAAATAATGAAACACACTAAGTAAATTCAAAGTACAGTTTCTTTTGTCTGACTCAAGAAATCTTTTACATTTCAGAAATACAGGTAATTTATTTCTGAATGTATCCCAACTGTATTTAGCATTCCAGAGTGTAAATGGCCACGGCAGACCCGGGTGCACGTTCATGCTTTGCAGCATACTTTATTAATACTTTCACGGTTGCTGTACATTCGCACCCAGAGCTGCAGCGCTCCAGCTGCCAGCTCAACATAGCAACAACAACCCCAACCACAGGACCCAGTATAATATTTAAGTCGGCGGGGCGTGATTGCAGATGCCGTGCAGGTGCGTCCCCCTTCCCTGCATGGCACCGCAGGCCACGCCCCGCCACGCAGAGAAAAAGCGAGCCTTTATTGTGACTAAATTAGATTCCAAAAAATATTCAAAACCAAAACTTCAGACAGGCAGCATCACTAGGACATTCACAGGACTGACAGCAAGCAACACGGAGTGCAGCAAGTGACACCATGACAGAGGACACATTGAGGACTGAAGTGTTTATACAGTTAGGTCCATATATATTTGGACACTGACACATTTTTTTTTTTTTACATGTTTACTGAAACATATTCCAATTGTAGTTATATAATGGACATGGACATAATTTGTAGACTCAGCTTGCATGAAGGGTTTAGGAGTTTTAGCTCCTTAACATGTCCCACACTCTTTTTAAAGGGACCAAACATAATTGGACAATTGACTCAAAGGCTATTTCATGGACAGGTGTGAGCAATTCCTTCGTATATCAATTAAGCAGATAAAAGGCCTGGAGCTGATCTAAGGTGTGGTGCTTGTGTTTGGAAGATTTTGCTGTGAACAGACAACATGCAGTCAAAGGAGCTCTCCATGCAGGTGAAACAACATCCTTAAGCTGCAAAAACAGAACAATCCCATTTGAGAAAATACTACAATATTAGGAGGAGTGGCAAAATCAACAATTTGGTTCATCCTGAGAAATAACGAAAGAAAGCACTAGTCAACTCAGCAATACAAAACGACCTGGATGTCCACGGAAGACAACAGTGGTGGCTGATCACAGAATCGTTTTTACAGCCAACAAAGTGAACAACAAACTCCAGGAGGTAGGAGTATCTAGGTCTACCATAAAGAGAAGAAAGGCCCACAAACAAACAGCAACTGAAAGCCTCTGCAGTAAAAACTTGGCAGAGCAACAAAAGGAGAAAACCCAGCATCTGGTGATGTCCATGAGTTGAAGACTTCATGGTGTCATTGCCAGCAAAGTATTAGAAATTAACATTTTCTTTTCAGTTATTTTTCAATTCATTGTGAGGAACTAAAAAAGATTTAGTTCCTCACAATGAATTTCTATTGTTACAACGCCGTTACCGTTACTAACAAGAAAATGCGGTCGCATTACTATTTTTCAACAAACAGATGGTTGAAGCTTCGTTCGTCTTACCGCACGTAATATCAGTTGGATGGAATTAGCTGACTACATAAGTAATCTGGGTGCTACAGCTTTAAGCAGCTGCGCGTGCTCCCGCGGACGGCAATCACTTTCTGCCCAGCGATCAATTTTTGCCACAACACCTGGAGCTAGGGCGCAAAACAATCGCATGATTGCTGCTGTTTGACTAAGGAAGAATAAAGTAGTCGTGGTAAGCCAATCACATGACCACTTTAAGATGACAAAGCAACAAGGTGATATATGCCAGTTTTTAAATTGTGTTGATAGGCCACGTAAAACCAGAGTCATGATAAACAATATATACACGTGTTTTTTCCTGAATAGTTTCGTCACGTTTACTGTCTAAGGACAGCGCTAGCGAGCACTCTCTGCTTATGAGCAAAAAATAAAAAAACTAAAAACAGCCCTTTCATGTTGGTGGAAAAATGTACAATGTTGACCAATGAAAAAGTGCTATGGCAACATGACATTTGGTTGTTTAGGAAGAGGAGGAAGTTTTAGGAGTGATGGAGAGAGAGAGGGAGAGAGAGACAGCAGAAAAAAGAGAGAGCAAGTTTTGAGATGTGAGAGATTTGTGATGTTTAGCGTGTTTGGAGTGTGTAGTTAATATGCTGTCTTGTGTAGTTAGAGTGCTATGTTGTGGATAGTTTGGTGTTGTGTGTCAGAACAATGAGGTGACAATTCAAGTATTTTGACTGGATTGTGGGTGCTTTCTATCACAATCCAAAGATATGTAATTAGACATGGGGACAACATGCAAACATTACACAGCAAGTCCTTTAAAAATCTGGTTATTTCAGTTTTTCATTCATTATGACCGTTATTCTCACCTGTCTTTGTTTCACAGTAAGATTTGAGCACCTTCGTGGTCTGATTCCAGCTCACTTGGTTGCTGTGATTACAGAAAATGGTGTCTTGCTGCAGGTAAACACTTAAAGAGGAAAATTCTTTTGTGGCTTTCAAATCCTTTTCTTCTGCATGAGAGCAGATTTTACCATCACATCTAAAACTACTGCTGATGTTAAAGTCCACTGTGCTGCAGGTCACAGTCAGGTTACAGGAGTCTGAGGTCTTGGACACAGGGTCCACTGTCAGGTCAACAGGAGTCACTTGATCTGGGAAACAACGGGTGTGAAAGTATTAAAAACAGGTCTATGACGTGTGAACATTTCAAAATAATAATGAAAATAGAAACCTACCTTGAACTATGACCTTGTATTCAGCTACCCTTTGCTCTTGTTGGCTGACCACAAGTGCAGTATAATCTCCACTGTCACTGTGTTGAACATTCTTTAATTTCAAAGAGCAATTTGGTCCAAACAGCTCAGCCTTTCCTGCATATTTGTTATACACGAATGGATCTTTATTAAAAACACATTTAGCTATATTGTTACTGGAATTAACTCTCCAGAACAAATCTGTCTGTTCGTCAAGTGTAACAGGTTTCTCTGTATCCAAGTGTAAGTCCTTTCCATGCAGCACAAACACATGTTGGAGACCTAACAGAAAAGGAAAAACAAAACATGAACATCCAGCTGCAATTATGTTAAATCAAACACAAATGCAACACAAAAAGGACCTGACACACGCAGCGTTGCAGTGTTGTGAAGGTTTTGTTTTTTTGTTATATTTTTTTTCACCGCAGCTTTCCACCTGCCTTCTGGTCCTGGTAGCCTACTCACACAGGGGGAGGCATGAGTTTATGATGGAGACCATCTTTGTTGGTCAACCTCGCCTGACACCACCTGCTGCTCCTCCCTATTGTTTGATTATTTTCAATATTCTTTAGTCACAGCTAACTGCTTGCGTTTGTTGCACCCACCAAACAATAATCAGTTTCACATTTCAGATAAAACTGTTGGGAAAAACCTGAACTTGTTATGAGATACAGCTTCCATCTCACTTCGGACAGCCCACCTCTCATATCTTGAGATATGACCAAATATATGACACCAATCAAGTCTTATTACTAAATTAACAGCTACCAAAGAGTTCCAGCAATCTTTCATTCTAGTTTATACGTCAACCAAAGGTCAGGACAGTTAGGATTACTTTGAAAGTTGCACTCTTGGCCTCCCACACACTTAAAAAAACATATTTGTCATTTTTTTGTCCACCCCCACCTTTCAACTTTCTGATTCTCTGATTTAGTGCTCAGTGAGATAAAATTATTATAGTGGGTAACTGTTGTTTTCATTAGTGTTGATGTTGTAAGTGTTTTCACAAAATCTAACCAAAAATCATCAATGAAGGAATCAACCATGAAAAATGAAAAGAAGACTGAGATGAAGTTATACAACATTTGAAAGCCTTAATGTTAGCCTTTCAGACCCAAACTGTCTGTTTCCAGTCTGTAACTCCTCCTATCCTTCACCACTGTCAAACACTATTGCATCTTGATAATAACTGTTTTTGGTAGTAAATTAAGTTTCTATTTCACTACTACAACAGATGGCAGATGTGAGTCAATTCCATGAAGTGCAAGCACATTTTCAGACCCTATAAAGACCTAAAGAGACACGTAAGACATAAAGTCTTCTACTCACACCTCATTTGTTTTAATTATTTTTATAGTGTTTGTTTTTATCATGATTGGAAATTAATGGGGAATTTGTTGCTTTATTAAACAGCTCTAATACCTCTTTTATAGCAGGGTAAGATTTTACACAGTTCAGTGGTTTTAAGAGGTCAAAATATGAAAAGTTGTTAGCAGTTGCTCCTCATCTGTGCCTGAAATCAGCCTTAAACTGCGATGTTGTTTTGAACTTTTCAGATAAATGTATCTTATACTCTTTGCTTGAAATAGCAAACATATAACTCATATAACAGGACAGTGCTTAATAATTCTCAAAATTCTCCATTTACACTACTTCTCTTTTATCAATTCAATAGCACATCTTCACCCAGGACAGAGAACTATTTTGAAAAACATTATCTGAGTCACAATGACATTTCTTCCATAATGTTTTCTTCCTCCCCTCTCACCTAAAACAAAATTGGCCTGTTAGGACACACTGGTTTACCAGGGTACATAAGCTCATTGGATGTGCTTCGGATGTGTTGGTTTTATTTTCTTTCAGAACCAGGAAGCAGAGTGACTGCAAGAAAGAGGAAGTGACTATTTTTAGATGGACTAACTTGTCAGAGCTTATTCAGCCTGTCAAAGACACAGCTCTGATTAAACTCTTGACTAATGTAGTTTGAGACATTAATCAAGTCTTTTGCCCGCTGCAAAAAAAGAACAGATACCTTTTGTAGTGAACACTATTATAAAAGAAAACATTTGCACTTTTCATCGTTGTCAGTTCTGTCCCTGTTGAATTAAAGAAGCAGTTGTTATATACTGCTACTATATGTGTGCTAATATTTAGACATTTTTTTCCTACCTTCAGCCTCAGTGCAGGACAGCAACACAAGAATCACAAAGAAAAACATTCTAGAGTCTCGAGGTTTCTCTGAAATGCAACAACGTGGAAGTGTTTTACACCACTGACAGCAGAACAGGGTCAGCCCCTTCTCACAACTCCGTTCTTCCTCTAAACAGACCAACAGTGCAAAAGTGAACTATCTGTGAGCTGTGCTAGTTTTAGCTCTGAGATAGCCACGGTTTCACAGTAACACTACCTTTGAGCAGAAAGAGACAACAAAACAGAAGCCATGACTCAGTCTGACCCGTATCAGCCTGCACGAACAAACTTTTATTCTTCTTCCTGCAGATTTTTGGGGTAATGTGTGAGAGTTGGTGAGCTAAGGTGCGAGTCCCGTGCACTGCAAGTCACGATGAGATTACAGGAGTTTTAAAGACAGAGTCCAATCAGGCCGATCAAAGCAGAAGAGGTAATATGATGATCTGAGTGCATTTAAGCTGCAGGAATTGACTTCATGAAATATCAGGATATCTGTGGGTTTTTCATTGATAATGTAAAATTCTGGATTGAGTTCTTGCTGGAATTGTCCTATACAGTAGTTATGAATGTCACCAAAATCCCCCCAACCAAACATAAATGAGAAACGTTTATATGAGTGCTGAGTATTTGTATATGTGTGCATGAGGGTGGGAATGCCTGTTTGTCTGTGTTTATATGTCAGGTCGGGTCTTACACTCCACCTCTCTGGGAACTCCCAGGC